GGACCAGCTCCCTAGGGGGGCTGGTGGGGGGGCTGGGACAAGGGCTGGCCGAAGGGAGCTGCGGGCAGAGCGTGAGCGTGGCAGGGACGGGGACAGTCCCCCGTGCCCGGTGTGCCTGGCTCTTCCTCTCCCTCCCTTTCTCCTCTCCTCCGCCCAGGCCGAATTCCTCGGCAATGACATCTCCGTCCACTCACCCCCTCAGCCCTCCCTGCATCCTCCCCCTGCGCTCCCCCTGGACGGCCCCGATGCCCTCGGTGGGGCAGGGGAGCCGTGCCCGGTGGTGCCCGGCCATGCCTACAGCCCGGTGCGGAGCAGGCAGGGGCTGCCCTCACTCACGAGGCCGCGCCAGCTGCCTCCTGCCGAGGCCAAGGGAAGGCAGCCGAGATGAAAAACAGCTGCCTCGGTCTCCAGGGCGGGACGAAAACGCCCCCCAAACACACAGCCGTCTCCTAGCAAAGCGCCCTGCTCCCGCAGGACATGGCCCAGCCTGATGGCATCCTCATCCTCGGAGGAGGTGGAGGAAGCAGAGGGCTGCCCAAGGGATGCCCCAGGAGCGCGCGATCCCTGGGTGATGCCAGCACCCGGGGGATTCGGGGCTGGCACCTCTGCCCCGCAGCCACATGCATTTTTCTCTGTGCAACGAGGGGCAAGAGGTGCCCGGGCTCAGCCCTGCTCCCCCGCGGGGTACAGGGGGGAGCAGCGGCTCAGGGGCACCCCAGGGCCCCACTCCGGCGCTCGGGGTGGCTCTCGCCCAGCATGGGATGAGTCAGAGGAGGAGGCTGGAGGCCGCCCCGAGCCCGGAGCTGCTCCTGGCCGCAGCGTGACCCGTCACTGCGGGGAGGCTCCAGGCCACGGCTCGAGGGCGGAGGTGCTCCCCCCATGGCCGCTGCACCCCCAAATTGCCCCAGGGAGGGTGCTGGCAGAAGCCCTGGCATCCCACACCCTGCCACGGCACTGTGCACCGGCACCCCACCGCAGCCCACTGTGTTCGGGGGCACCCAGGCATCCCCTCCCTGCTCTGACACCCACGCCTTGTCCCTTGCACCCCTTCCCTCCCCAGCACCCATCCCACAGCCCCACGCACCTTCCCACCGCCCCAGACGCCCACTCTCCCCTTTTCGCACGCTCTCCTCCTTCCCGTGCACCCCCTTTTCCCTTCCACACCCCGCTTTTGCACGCTCGCACCCCCGCGGGCGCCCC